AATGTTGGCAAATATTGCAGAAGTTGATAGATTAAAAGAATAGAGAACATAAGCCTAAATAAAATGTTCACATTAAAATCCGTACTCGACAATCAATAATTTCAACTAATGATGCTCCTCATCACGAGAGACTGAGCACAACATTGATATTTAGTTTTGAACAAAAATATCAACTTGTAAGTAGTACTCTTTGTGTAGTAATCAAATGTTCACAATAAATCCGATCAAACAGCAAGCCTATCTTTGGACCGATTCAATGTTCACATAATAAAAACTTTACAATTATTACATATTTATTATTACAGATGTGCAAATAATTTGGCCGAATATTGACATTCTTTTAGAATTACGTACACAATCTTTCCAATATTCCAAATAAATTAATTTAGAATCGATTCTTGAATTTCTTCATCTCGATTCTTAATTGTAGATTGTCTGTTCTTGATTGTGAATTTAGAATCTTCCTCTTCAAATGCTTCCTCTTATATTTTTGTGTTGATGGGATGACATAAAAAATGAAAAGTTGTATATGAATTGAGGATCATAAACCTATATATAGTTTTCATATGCGTTTCACCAAGCATGAAATACAATTCTAAATGAGATACCCAAAATCACAATAACTTAAATTCCTTATTAGATCACTTTAATTTTTTGGGCTTAACTTTAAGATAGTCATTATATTAATTACATATGTCTGCCCACATGACAAATTAAATAATTTCCAAACAGCATTTATTTTGCTTGTGGTCTCTATTTGTAAACACTACATGTGTGCATTTCACTTGACAACATTGTCAAATAATACAAGCTAATGGCCAATGAAGATGTCACCGTAGATCCACGGTTCATTCAGAGTAGCAAGTTTGTTAAACTCAAATCTAGAGGCCACTAATTGATGTACATAAACATGAGTGCAATCATTATAATTTCAAAAAAGATATAATAAAGTGGGAAACTAGATTCTGCAGCCTAATCGATGCCCAAAATTATAGTCTAAACAGAAGCCTTACTGCTTCTTCATTTGTTTTTTTTAATTAAAAAGCATACTTCAGCTAACGATTTTTCAAGTTTGATTATGAAGGCCAAAGAAATCATTCTTTTAGATGTGCAAGCCATTAACTAGAATTCTTCTTTAGGTTCCGTTTGGGAGTGATTTTTCATCTCAAAAAATCGATTTTTTTTTACCCTTATTTCACTATTTTAACCCCTTATTTCACTATTCTAACCGTAATTTTTGACTTCTTCTCTCACAAATGACCTCACTTTTCTTCTAATGATAAAAAAATTAATTCTCAAAATCACTACCGAATAGACCCCTAGTCTTATTCTATTCAATTTCCTCTAGAGTTTAGAGGTCAAACTCCCATTAATTCTACACTAAAGGGTGATGCTACAATACATCAGGGTGTTTATCTCGATATCCATCACCTCACATGGAGGGGAATCTATTTTGAATAAAATATAATTTATCCAAAATGTGTCCGCCTCAACACTTGAATGGATATCACATTATATAACAAGTGGTATATTTCAACACTAAAAGGCTGCTAGCTACTTGTTGCGTGCAAGCAGGTAAGCATGTGCACGCAAATGCTTGCATTGTTTAGGGATGCATAAGGATGTCAACGAGCTGAACCGAGTCGGCTCGCTCGGGCTTGGCTCGAGCTTTTTTAAATGAGCTTTTTTCGAGTTCGAGCTGAGCCGAGCAAAATCTTGGTCGAAAAAACAAGGCTCAGCTCGAGCTTTGGGCTCAGGCTTTGTCGAGCCGAGCCGACTCGATTTTTTTTATTATTATTATTTATAATAACAATATTACGAATCTAACATTTTCTTATAAAATTAAAAAATTGCATAATTTATACGAGTTACAAATCAAATAAAAATTACAACTTATAAAATTGCATTACAACTTACAATCCTCCTCCTTTTTTGGGTTTGGGACCGGCTACATGACGTAGGCGGAGTTAAAATTGTACACGAATAAAATATTTCGTGTACAATTTTTATTGAAACAAATAAATTTAAAAATTACGTATTGTTTTGAAATAAATTATTTTAAAAATTTACAACATTCTATGTTTGGATCTGCTGCAACTCTTCGACCAGTATACTGTCAATATGTTCCTGAACACGTAATTATGCACATTCCCAATCATTCAAGCATATTAAAGCTTCCAACATATTTTCTTTTAGTTTTGAATGTTCATCTGATAAAATTCGACCACCTAAATTGAATGCAGCCTCTGATGCTACCGTAGACACCGGAGGTGTTAGTAGATCACGTGCAATTTTTGATACAATTGGATACTGTTTTTCATTACACCTTCACTAATTTAAAAGACTAAATTCCTATAATTCTTTTTCAGGTAATACACTGCGAACATCCACGCACATATACCTAGCTAACTCGGAGGAAATTTCAAAATTTGTAACACCGACATTTATCGCTCTAGACATTGATGAACTAGAACTAAACGAGGGAACACTTGTATTGTGTTCCAAAAAATTTCATAAATTATCTGAATTTATTGAAATATTTCTTGAAAAAGAATTTTGAGAAGTAGAACTACATTGGTCTTCTTTATCAGCATAATAATTATACATTTCAGATAACGTAGATTCTATATTCACATGTGATAATTTCATATTCATGAAATTTGAAATCCCCTTTACAGTGGCTATTGTGCCATTTAAATTAAGTCGAAAGTCCATTACTGAAGCTAAAATAAATAAAGAGGGAAATTCTTCCCAATATTTATTAAATTTTAATTTCATAGAGCAAACTAAGTCAGAAAAAAGGGCAAACTCCTGTATTTATGAAATGTTTGTGAAATGTAAAAAAAAAATGTTGTAAAACAAGTAAAGATGTAGGGTAATATACTCCACTACATTCCTTTGTAGTATCGAAAAAGGATTTTAAAAAAAATTTCATGTTAAATGCAAGAGACCAGTCCCAATCTTCTAAATTATGTTCAGGTCCGTATGTATGCCTATCATTATGATATGATGAAATCACTTTATCGTAATTTTCACACGAATGTAACATAAGAGATGTAGAATTACATCTATGTGTTACATCAGTGACAAATTATTTCTCCTGCAAGTCATACTCTCCACACAAACTGTTAAATTCTTATTTTCTTGCCGGTGACATAGTAATAAAATTTATTGCTTGTCTAATTTTATCTAAAGGAGAATTTATATGTTCTAATCCAGCTTTTATAATTAAATTGATAATATGACATACACAACGTTTATGAAAAAATAAAATTCCAAATGAAGGGTTAAGTTCATTAATAAATCTTTCGATAACACCTTTGTTCACACTAGTATTATCAAAAGTAAAATTTCGAATCATATCTTACATACCATATTCCTGTATAATATTTTTTAAAATCATGTATATGTTAGTGGCATTATGAGGATATTCTATACATCTAAATGCAATAATCATTTTATGTAAAAGCCATAGGTAATCAATATAATGAGCCGTAGCAGCAATATAACATTTTCTATTACCACCGGTTCATAAATCAGATGTAAATGATATAACACTATTAAAAGTTTTTAGACTTTCAATAGCAACTTGTTTTCTTTTGTTATATAATTTTATAGTATCTGAACAAAGAGTATTTCTACAATAAGAAGAATACTTGGGTTGGAGATATTTCTGCACAAGTCGGGTAAAGTGTACTGAGTCTATCATCGTAAGCGACATCTCCACTGTAGCCACGTATGCAGTCATTCCTTCACGAAATCTTTCCTGTGAATATACAAAGGTGGAAATAGTAGAACAAAAACCACCAAAAACTACTTCGGTCTGTTTTGAGTTAAGATCGACTCGTTTCGTTTTGCAACTCCTTAATATGTGTCTATTCAAATGTGTTGTGCTCGAACCGAGCTTCTAACTAAGTTCTTTACTACAGTAATTGCAACATGCTTTCCAAATATCCACTCCATTTTGAACACCAACTTTTTTACGTGTCATATGTTGTCAATAATCGGATGATTCTTTTTTCAACCTTTTAATTTCGAGTACTTCTTCCTCATCAATATTCTCCAAATCAATTGGAATATTTCGAGATGTATCGTCGTAACTGGATGGAGTACTCGAGCTACCCGTAAACTGATTAAACTCTTCACTAGTAAAATCCATCTATAACTAGTATAATATAAAATAAATAATATTAGAGTATGACTGTATGAGAGTGAAAGAAATTGAATATGAGATTGAGAACAAAAAAATTAGAGTTGAAACTTGAATATATAATACCGCAAGTTAAAATCGATTGAAAAAATTGATTTGAAACTAAAAAATTTACCTCATATTTATAGCAAAAAAAAAAAATCAATTTTACCTCCACATTTGAAATTCAAATTTGAATTTTGAATTTCAAATATTAACGGACCTCGTAAATTAAATTTCATCAGTAAAAAAATCGATTAAGGTAGCACCTAGCTCAGCTGCTGCCTAAAGGCAGCTGATGCCATCGTTACAGGCAATATAGATGTCTGTAACGACAGCTTGACTATGTACATATATATTAATTTTTATTTATTTATTTATTTTTTACGAGTCGGCCCATTGTGGCTGGGTGAGCCACACGGGCCGACTCGGGCCAACGCCCCAAAATAAGGTTCGGCCCGAGCCTATGCTTGCTCCATCCGAGCCACAAACCGCCCGAGTCATCGAGCCAATTTGACATCCCTAGGGATGCATAATGCTGCATACGAGAAGGTTTTTTTAAAAAACAAAAAATTAACTTAAAAAAAACTTTCAAATTTCATGAATTTTTTATTATTATTATTTTTTTAAAAGGAGGCGGCTCAAGCGCCCCATGGCTCGGCTCAACAAGGCAAGACTCAAGTCGATCCTTACTTTTCACTGAGTGAACATTTTTTGCCCGAGTCGTGACTTTTGACACGTGATCTGATTCGATTCGACTCGGCTCATTTACACCTCAATTACCTTCAAAAAAAATTTCTAAGACCATGGCTGAAATTAACATTCAAATCGTTAGTCGCAGGACAGCGACTTTGAGCTATAGGAGTAGAAAATTGGATTCTGTTTGAGCTTCGGAAAACACGGTAAAATTGCATCCACCGGAGAGACGACCACAGGACGGAGAGATGGCTCATGTATTGAGGCCGCTAATACAGCTGCAGCGGTGGCACCACCATTGCTCCGCCGGCGCTGTATTTTATCGTATCCTAAACCACCACTTCCGTTCACCACGTTCATCCAACGAGCTTCTGTTCTTCACAGTCTTTCCCTCTATAAATCACCGCGTGCATTTCCGCTCACGCGCTCTTAAACAGCGTGATTTTCCTTCGCCGTCCGGTTCAAATGATAGCGGTAGCGATAGCGATAGCGACTCCTCCGAAATAATGAAGAAGAGCCGTAATGAGAAGAAGCGCGAGGCTCGCCGCGCCGTCCGCTGGGGCATGGAATTGGCCAGTTTCTCTCCTCTTCAAATCAAACGCATTCTCAGGTACCTTGTACGATATTACGAATTCACAATCACTCTTCGCTGCAAATTATGACAAAGTATCATGTTAAACTCTGGCTTTGGCTGGTTTATATGAATGCAGGGTGGCGTCGCTTGAACAAGAGGTTTTTGATGCTCTCATGCTAGTAAAGGTAGTTCTTTTAAGTTTCATCTATCTCAATAAACATGTATTTCATGATCTGAGCAAATTTAGTTTTGGTGTGTTTTATATTTTCTGTAATTTTGATGAGTTTTGTTTTGGTAGATAAATTGTTTGATTGTTTGTCTCAGAGACTAGGTCGTGATGTTCGAGAAGGGAAGCGAAGGCAATTCAATTATATAGGTGAGCAATGCCTAAAAGATCATTTTTTCTCGCACTTTTGGAGTCTTTACTCTTTAATTAATGATAAACTAGAATCCTCTGTTGCGTTTTCTTGATTAATAAAGCTTATGCAGATAAAAAAATAATAAGAAGAAGAACTATAATGTCTGCTGTGACTTGTGAGAAATTAATGAAGCCTTTTGAATGGATTTATCAATTTTCTAACATCAGTTGTGCAGACCAAATGTTCCAATATGGATGGCAAAAGCATGACATTTCAAGATATATTGAATAGAACCAAAGACTTCAGCTGGGAATTTGGCAGAATGACTGAGAGAAATTTTACTGAATTGCATTGCATTTGTTCTTGTACATTTAACCAGTATATATACCCATTATACACTCCTGTACAAAGATGTAAACGAATATTATACACTGCCATTGGCATGTGGGGAAAAAAAATAGAATTCCAGAAATGCCGCTGCAGAAAAAAACAGAAAATTAACTACAAGATTCTTCTAGAAAATCCTTCTACTGAATGTGCTGCTGACTAACGTGATTCTCCAACTCGGCAGCTTCATCAGCATCTAATAGCTCCTGCAAGATGGGGAGTATATGTCCATTACTCCCATCTTGAGCATACATGAATAAAAACTTTGAGAACTTAAGGCTTTGGTTAGAATGTCAGCTATCTGTGATCTGCTGGGCACATGTTTAATGATGATGCTTCCATCTTGAATCTTATCTCTTATTAAGTGACAATCAAGTTCTATATGCTTAGTCCTCTCATGAAAAACCGGGTTTGTGGCAATATGTACAGTAGATTTATTATCACAATACAAGAAGGCAGCTTGAGGATGGGCTACCTCCAAGTCTTTGAGAAAATATTGGAGCCATGTCAATTCACAACACAAATTGGCCATGGCTATACTCTGACTCTGAAGAAGATCTGGAAACAACCCGATGTTTCTTGGATTTCCAAGACACTAGTGACTCACCAAGTAAAACACAATATCTTGTCACTGACCGCTTGGTGTCAGGACAAGCATCCCAATTAGAATCGCAATATCCATGTAGTTGCAGCCTTGAATTTGTTGGATAAAATGACCCTTGGCCTGGAGCTCTTTTGACATAACTTAAAACTTTGTGTGCTGTGTGTAGATGTGGTACCCGAGGATTATCCATGAACTGGCTCAATAGCTGAACCGAGTATGAAATATCAAGCCTAGTTATGGTTAAATATAGTAATCGTCCAACTAATCTTCTGTAGAGTGTTGGGTCAGGAAGAAGCTCTTCTTCATCTTTGGTCAACTTTATATTCTGATCTGAAGGAATTCTAACGGGTGCTGAACCAATTGTCCCTAAGTCACTTAATATGTCGAGGGCATACTTCCGTTGGCATATTTGAATACCCTGTGCAGTCCTTGCCACTTGTATGCCAAGTATTTTAATTTGCCAAGGTCTTTGATTTTAAATTTGTCATGAAAGGAAGCTTTGAGGTGATTAATTGTATCAATGGAGTTACTAGCCACAATGTTGTCAACATATACTAAGACAGTAGTAAAGGAATTACCTGTGCTCTTAGTGAATAGGTTGTAATTTGCCTTAGATTGGATGTACCCTTGTTCAGTGATAAACTTAGAGAGTTTAGAATACCATTGGCGTGATGCTTGCTTTAGCCCATAGAAGCTCTTCTTGAGTCGACAAACTTTCTTGCTATCACCATTTGAATATCCCGGGGGATGTTCCATATACAACTCTTCATCTAACTCACCATGCAAGAGCATATTATTAACATCAAATTGGAAAAGATTCCATCCCTTTATGGCTGCTATAGCCAACAAAGTTCTGATTGTGACAAATTTTGCTACCGGTGAAAAGGTCTAATGGTAATCAAAACCTTCTTGTTGTGTATACACCTTGGCAAAAAGTCTTGCTTTGAATCTTTCTATGCTACCATCAGAATTTGATTTTGTACAACCATTTGCACCCTGTTGCTTTCTTATCAGGAGGTAAGTCAACTAGAATATAAGTGTCATTAAGTTCAAGAGCTTTAATCCCTGCTTTCATGGCTGCACACCATTCTGTTGAATTTTTGCTTCCTGGTAACTTCTAGGTTCTGATTGTGTAGTGACAGAGGATACAAAAGCTCTATGTGAAGTTGACCAATTTTCACATGAAACACTAGCACTAAGAGGAAACTGTTTACCTGGAAAATTTTGTTCCTTTTAGTTTGTCTGACTCTTGAGATGGGTGAAGACAGGCAGTCTGTTCACATATGAAGTCTTGGAGGTGTGCTGGTGCCCTTCGAATTCTTACAGACCTGCGGGGGTAATGAGTAATAGGGCTGGTGTTTGATGATGTATCACGAGTATTAGGACTTTAGGAATTATCTGTAAACTCAGATTGAGATTCATTATGATCAGAGATTTGTGGAACATCTTCCAAAAGGATGTGGGCTTTGAGGTTCTATTGGTGGTGGAATATGATTTTCTTTTGGTATAGATACTGGAACTATACTTTCATTGTAAGATATGGGATTTTGAGTGAAGTTTTCATTGTTTTGATTTGGTTGTGATTGGATGATGTTGATGGAATCTTTGAAAGGAAAAATTTTCTCATAGAAAATTACATTTCTAGAAACAAAAATCTTTTTGGTTTCAAGATCCAACAAAGTATATCCTTTGATCCCAAAAGGGTAGCCTATAAATACACATCTTTTTGCTCTAGGATCGAACTTTTGTCTTCCATTAACAATGGTTGATGCAAAAGCAAGACAACCAAAGACCTTGAGACGTAGATAGTTTGGCCTTTTGTTGAAGAGAATTTGATAAGGGCTTTGGTTATTCAATGTGGAAGATGGTGTCCTATTTTTGAGATATACGGTAGTTAAAACACAATGGTTCCAATATTTTAGATGAATTCCACTTTGAAACTTTAAAGCCCTAGCCGTGTTAAGAATGTGCTGGTGTTTCCTCTCAACCACAGCATTTTGGTGTTGTGTTTCAACACAAGTTTTATGATGTATGATACCCTTTTTGAGGTAAAAGTCCTTCATGTTGAATTCACCACCATTATCAGCTCGAATTATCTTAATTTTGGTTTCAAATTGTGTTTCCACCATAGCACAAAAGTTTTGAAGAGCAACTATAGCATCAGATTTTAGCTTCAACATACATGTCCAAGTGCAACGGCTAAAATCGTCCACAATGGTTAAAAAATATCTAGAATCATCACTCCCAATCTCACTGCAAGGGCCCTAAATATCACAATGTAATAATTCAAAGCAATTTTCAGTTTTATGAGTACTCATGGTAAAGGTAATTTATGCTATCCAGCTAGGGGACATAGAGCTGACTGTGTCATTGAAAGATTTGGAAACTGAATATCACCATCAATGCTAGAAATGGAATAAGAAAATTGCCCTAATCTAAAATGCCAAACATCAAAACCTTGTGCATTATTAGTTACTGAGGCTGAAATAGAAGTGGATGACAAAAGGTTTAATTTGGCCAAATGGTCTGATAAAGCTTAACGAGAGACCTCACGCTTCGTATGGTAGAGTTCTTCCTTAACTTCACCCATGCCAATTGTTCTCCAAACTGAAAGGTCCTGAATATCACAACAATAAGAAAAGAAAATCAGGCAAAAGTTGAACATTTGGGCTATTTTCTTGGTAGAAATAAGATTGTAAGAGAAGTTGGGCACACGGAGAACATCTTGAAGACTCAATGCATTTGTGATGTTTACTGTTCCTATGTGGGTGACAGGAACTTTATTGCCATTTGGTAGATCTACTGAGTAGCGGACTTCTGCTTGAATGGAAGAAAACAATGAGGTTGAACAGATCATATGATTTGTTGCCCCTGTGTCTAGAATCCAAGGTGTGTCCAATATGTTAGAAAATTTTGGTTTAGAGGCAGACATACACAAGGACATATTAGAAAGTTGATGTGCAGTAATATCAGAGGAGGAAGGAGTAACAATGCCTTGAACATTATTGACTGAGTAAGTGGGATATTGAGGAGTTGTGATAGATTTGAGGAGCGCCATAAGCTGAGAATATTGTTCCTGACTTAATGACACCCTAGATTTGTCATTCACCACTTCCTATGTAGAAGGCAAAGATGCAATGGACTAATTTGTTCTTCCCTCGAATTTGTGGCCTGATGGGTAACCATTGAGCTTGAAACACTTGTCTGCACCATGACCAGGAACTTGGTAGTAGGAACAAATTGGTTTTCCTGGGTTAGCTTTGAAGCATCTTTCAGTGGAGTGCCCTGAGATTTTACAAAAAGTGCAGTAATACCTGTCTTTATTCTGTGTTGAATTGTTTTGCTTCCCCCTTCTTTGTAATTGCCTCTGGTAAAGAGTGCCATAGACACAGATGTACATCCTTGAGTCCATATTTCTTTTCTCTTTTCTTCCTGTTGTATAATCGAATAAACCTCATTTAAACTAGGAAAGGGCTTAATCAATAAGATTTGTGCCTTGATCCCCTTATACGTATCGTTCAGACCCATTAGGAACTTCATCACCCAGTCCCTCTGTTGATTTCGAACCACAGTTTTTAATCCCCCGCAGCTGCAATTGGGAATGGCTCGTAATTCATCAGTTCATCCAAAAGGGTTTTGAGTTTAAAGAAATAAACACTTATAGGATCTTGATTTGCGTGGATATGCATTGTTTGATTTCGAAGATCTTAGATGCATTTTGTTGGGCAAAACGCTGCTCCAATTCAATCCAAAGCTGATGCACTGTCTCAGCGTAGGTGGTGCTGCATTTGATGTCAATAGCCATTGTGTTTTGCATTTAGGTAATCATGATATCGTTGCAACGTAGCCAATGTTCCATGAGCGGATCATTTGGATCTTCTGGCTTGTATATATTCCCATCGATGAAACCTAATTTGTTTTTGATCCATAATGCCCTTTTCATAGATGAAGCCCATGAATAATAGTTGCTGGCATCCAATATATGTAACCAACATGGCGATGGCGACGGCGACGGTGACAATCCCATTCGTTGCTTCCGATGAAATATGGGCTACTTGGTTGGGTAGGATCATGAGCAACAGTGTTTGAGCTACCAGATTAATAGATGTTTGGGTTTTGGCTTTGGGTTTGGGCTTGGATTGAGCTTGGGTTCCCGGCATTTGAATCTTGCATTTCTGGCTCTAATACCATTTCAAGAAATGTTGAATAGAACAAAAGACTTCAGCTGGGAATTTGGCAGAATGACTGAAAGATAAATTTTATTGAATTGCATTGCATTTGTTCTTGTACATTTAACCAGTATATATAGCCACTATACACTCCTATACAAAGACATAAACGAATATTATACACTGCCATCAGCATGTGGGAGAAAAACAGAATTCCAGAAATGCTGCTGCAGAAAATTAACTACAAGATTCTTCTAGAAAATCCTTCTGCTGAATGTGCTGCTGACTAACGTGATTCTCCAACTTGGCAGCTTCATCAGCATCTAATATAACAAGCTCGGTTGGTGGATTTATAAATTAAAACTAATACATAAGTGGGGTTTGTGAATGACAATTTGTCAGTCTCCATTTTATGGAGGCTGGTGTCTAGTATCATAAAAATTTGGGAATGATATGTCGTTGTGAATTCCAACAATTTTACCAGAAAGCTCTATATAAGCTTCTGCGATTCACATGAAATAAGATGGTATAGTAAAATTATGTGTGACTAAGAAATACTTGTCAGATGCACATTTCAAATGTCATATTAGTTTTAAGATACAGTTACATTAAGCTCCAATGAAGTTGAAGCGACCTTAAATGATTTGTGTTATTCATTAAATGTATAAAGTTTTATTTAGAACAAGACTTAGTTCGTTGTTTGTTGTACATGTTTGCAGTTTCCTGTCGAAAACATCGACTTGACAAATTTTTTATTGAATATTAGGATCCTCTCCGTTTGTCGTCACTTCATTTTTCTTCCATTAATGGCCTAAAATCAAATTGTAGCACCATTACAAAAGATAAAAACTATCCACATTCAAGTTCATGATTTGGAAAATAGGTTTCATATAGTGATAATTGGGATATTAATACATAGATATTGAATGGAGAAAGGCTAACTAAGAGGGTACATATCTGTGTGAATGTGTCTATACCTCTTTATTTTAATGTAAGAAGCTTTAGACCGACTATAAGTTCTAGCATCTTCTAATGCCAAAAGTTTCATTGAAATAGTTGAAGAGAAAAATATGGATGCTTGTAAAATTTCCAGGACACATGATTGCAAGGTTATTCTTCTAAATATGATTTGTGGAGCTCTAATTTTTGAAAGTCATGATCGATATAAATTTAAAGTTCGAAGGATACTGGTCTGCTAAAAAGGCCTACCCCAAGTGAAAAAGATCAAGTCCCAAAGACTTAAAAGGTTCTATTCAAGTCAGAAATGACAAATAATACACTAATTTTCTCGTATTCTTCAGTGGATTGAACAAGAAAACATAAAATGTTCCTGATATCTATGTACTGATCACTAATTAGTTAACAATATGTTGTTCAGTGGTACTGTTAATCTTGGTAGCAACAGCGGTTGTAAGATATCTCTTCTCATGACTTCATGTTATGGCATGAGTGGACTAGCCAGATAATTTTAATTCTTATTCAGCACAGTCCAATTGTCTTTAGTCCAGGGAAGCAGAATGCATTCTTGATGCTCTTTATAATATGTAGTTATGTTGCATGTTTGGCTAAGCATGTCAAAAAATGCATGTAGAGACATGTTTTTCAGAATAGATTTTTATAAGAACCTTTTAAGCTTATCCAAGCATGCTCATGAAAATGATACATTCTAAAAATGATGTGAATAACATCTTCCACTTCCGTGGTAGGAAGATTGCTTCGAGATGTGGAGCCTGAATTAATGGATGGTTTGATTCAGGCCACAAAAGATGGTGACCAGAGTAAGTTTCAGGAATTATGTGGTTCAGAGACACCGGAAACCAATGAAGAAGATGAACAACAACAAGAAAAAATTGAATCTGAGAATGATGACGAGGTATTTCTATTTGTTAACATTTTTACAACTCTTTTGTTGCCCTTTTAACTAGGTTGATGGTAAAAAGTAAAAATTCATATTAAATTTTTCCTCTTATAGTTCTTCTTTGTATCTAAAAGAAACGGATATACATTTTAGTTTTTAGGTAACATAAATGTGTTTCGTGATCTTGTCCTCTTTCTTCCAACATCAATGGTGGTTTCATCAATCTCAGCCTCCATGGTCAGGCACTCAGGTTACCTTCTGGTGGTTATGGTTGTGTATGTTTGGGAATTCTTGTACTGATTGATGTTCCTTGGTGCTTAATCCTTGCAAAGTGTTTTTATTGTCAATTCAGAGGTTGTTTAATTTGATTTATGTCTATTATAGACCCAATTCGATTTAATCATCATTTCATCAAAATTTGAAATATAAATAAATAATAACACGATACTTATCCTTACTTTCTTTCCTTCTTGTTTACAGGATTCTGAGTACAATGTTGATATAGCAATTAGATGGTTCGAGGGTCTGGTTAACAAGGACATAGGCATTACCAATGAAATTTATTCACTTCAGGGGGTTGAGTTTGATCGTCAGGTCAGTTTCTCCCCCCATTTGAAGCGTCAAGTAGAAACCACAAGCAGTGATACACTACTCTTGGTTATCTGAGAGAAGATATTAAATTTCTGGATCTATTGCTTTTAAGATTTATCTTGTGATGTTTATTTTGTTGTCACTAACTCTACAGGCTGATCCAAATATGTTGAACCACCTCATCTAAAATTCAAACGGTTAGATAGGCGACAAGTTTATTCATTTAAATTTTGTTCAACAAAATCAGTCAAGGTGTTAATTTATCTCACCTATCACACTTGACCAATTGAAAAGTTCTGTATTTGTGTGTGCACGGGCTTTTGTATCACTAGATCCTGTAAAACAAATGAAGTTGGCGCCTGATGGCTGTTGACTCTGCTGAACCCTACTGCAGGATAGCCAAATAGAATTTATAATCTGAATTCTGCACTTCTAGTTACAAATAAAAAATCAGCAGTGTTAGGATCTCTGATACTGCAAAGGCTCTTTGTAGTACCAGATTTTAGAGAAAAATGGTATCTTCACCTGATTGCTTCTTACTACCTGAATATCTGGTGTTTGTGACTGACATGACAAAAAATATCTGAATTTCCTTCCTACAAGGATTTAGAATTATAAAAAAGTGCTGAATGCTGATTATTGGAGGTATGGCTCATGTACTCATCTAGGGCTAGGTAGTTTATGGTTCATTGGTTCTCATCTTCCAAGCAGGAATGTCAGTGATGTAACGCCGAAGATGGTGTTCTGTCTCCTAAATGTTGTACCTCTAGGACCTAGTAAAACTAATGGAAGTTTGCCATGCAATAAAAGCTGGTGCTTTGATTAGGTTGTCTCATTTCTGTTTTTCTTTTCCTTCCTTATTTTTTGTCTCTGTCCTGAATCAACTAACCAAGATTAATTTCACCTCATCATTTTAGTAAATTTCTTGTGCACACTTAACTGTATAAGCAAACATCTACTCAATTACCTAGCTCTAGCTGCAAATTGATAGGCAAATGTGTTTCATTTTTGACTCCTGATTATATACTTAAATTTATTTGCTTTCGATTTTGGAGTACTTGAATTAATTTACAGTTTACAGGTACGTTTGTATTTAAATATGAATTATGTTATATATTGGTGTTGAATGGATTCCATTTCTTTACTCGACATGTGGAATGTTTGTAACAGTAACAGCATAATTTAGTCACCATAATCACGTTTAGTAGCATCTTAAAATGTAGTGTTTAAAGGTGTATCTTGTAGAGTTATTCTTGCTGATGGGAATTATTCTCCTGTCCTGCGACTCCAGGAACTACGGAAACTGTTACGTAAAGTACATTCTACGCAAGAGCAAGAGGGTCGGGTCAGTTCAGAGGGAAATGGTAAACCAGATGCTACAGTTGTAAGTGCTAGAAGATCCCTCGACCATTTTCTTCGGGGCCTTGTGAAGCAGCTTCCTGTTTGAATAAATATCGATTTCACTTTTGGATGCTTATATTCCACACCATGGGCCCAGGGAAGAAACTTGAGCACAAAGTCTACAAAGTTAGATGCTGCTTTTGCCATGTCTTGGGTTTGTTGCATTTCTAAGGTTATAGTTTGAGAGCTCATGTCCGGAGCGTCAGTGTTATTGACTCTCTTTTGATATTTCAGAACATGTGTTCTATTCTTTGCAGGTTTGTCTTATAATTACATGTTTATCAAATATTGAGTGAAAATTCTCGAAATGCCTTGGGACATGGTTTGACGAGTCATATATATACGGGAATGATGTACTGAGCACCAGTGCTTTTAAGTACCGATGATGTGTCATATAAATGCAATGGTGAATAAACTTATCACTTATGGTGGGCCTTCACATTTGAATTCAGTTTAAAATTCGTCAATTAATTCATATGACACATTATCGGTGCTTGTGAGAAATATGTATGAAGTTATATATGTATTTTAAATTCTAACTTGTGAGAAATTATGCCCTCAACGGCCGCAACAAATCATTTAATTAGATATTGCAACACTACAGACAGGAAATTTTTAGAAATTAAGACATTTATCTAAAAAAAAGGAAAAAAGAAGAAGAAAAGTCAAACATCACTTGAGAAGAATAAATTGATATTTGAAACTTTGTTTGATTGTTACTCAAAAAATATCTCAAAATATCTCAATGAAGTACAGTATCAAATCCAAATGATTTCACCAGAGATATTCAAGAAGAAAGTTACAGAAAATAATTGATTTTACTAAAGAAAGGTAATCAAGATATAATCATAAATTTTTTGAAAACTTTAGTAATTATTCTCGATGACGTCATACATGTATCTAGATAGCAAAATAGTTAAGAATTTATTGTCTTTAGAGAAAAATACAAGGGAGATGCTTAATAATTCAACCCCTTATCATATGATGACTTTCTTTCATTTATTCCCATCATTTTCCCTTTTGTACATAAGAAGCAAGGCATCTCTATGAACATTGCACCAAGAATATTGCTATCATTTCACTGAATGAAAGTGTAAATGGGATGATAATTTTTTCTTTTGAAAAGACAATTTTTATATGATTATATCTCGTCCATCCCGTTCTAAAAGTATCAAAAGGTATTGGACAATCTAAATCGCTAATCACATCAAAATGGGGTCAGGCATGGCCCATTTTAACGATCGAGTTATATTGGCTCGACTCTAGTGACTCATGTCCGGGTGGACTACCATTTAGGAAGCAAAAAGTAAATAAGAGAACTTATGTCAAAAACTAAAAGAAAAGAAATCCTAACTCTAACATGACTCAACTATACCGAGTCTCAATATAACATAAATAGATTGTGTCAGTTCAGAATCTGCTTGACTCAAACAAATTCAAAATCGAGTCCTGTTGATTCTACCTGGACCACTTGACACCCAACTCCCCATCTCCGTTCACAATGTAAAACCTATATGATAAAGCAGCAACAAAATATCCCCCACCCACTATGATTTGATGCCAATTTTACTTGATATGAAATGTTGTGTCCTTTTCAGTAATGCCATTACTTTCAACATACGAATAGGTGGGTGGTCGAATCTTGAAATATCTCTTCCTTTTTGTTCACAAATCAAAATAAACTTGTGGAGTTATAATAATATTGAGTGAATTGTCCAAATGATCACTGAATTTTACAAATAAATTTCAAAAGGGTCATTGAACTTTAAAAATCACCTAAATGATCACTGAACTTTGTAAAAGATTTCAACGAGGTTATTGAACTTTGCAAAAGGTTTTCCAAGGGAACCTTGAAATTCAGTGACCCTTGAAAAATCTTTTACAAAGTTCAGTGACCATTTAGGTGATTTTTAAAGTTCAGTGGCCCGGTAGAAACCTTTTGCAAAGTTCAATGATCATTTAAGTGATTTTTAAAATTCAGTGACCCCTTAAAAATATTTTGCAAAGTTCAGTGACCATTTGAACAATTCACTCAATTATATTAGTTAGAGCTATAAAGTAAGTTTAATCGGAAGTGTATGTTTTATTTTTAGAAGCTCATTCCGGCAAGATTTTTGAATCATGGGCTTGGCCATGTCATCTACAATATCCTCATTATAAATTAATCGTACGGTTGTAATTTATTCCAAGAAAAATAATTTTTTTGACACTTTAGTACGTTAAATAAAAGGGAAAATTATAGCAGTGGTCCCTAACCTTTTCATTTATTGTAGACTTTACCCTAACCTTCATTTTGTACTAACGAAAGTTCCTAACCTTTCATAAATATGCACTTGAGGTCTATTTGAGCGAAAATCGTCCAAAACACTATTAGTTTACCAGGACAATTAAGGAATCAATATCCAATAAAACCGTCCAAAAACATCGTTCAAAAAGATATGAACATCTAATAAAACCGTCGTGGTAACAAATAGTTGAAGGAATTTTTCCGGTCAACTGACGGTGTTTGGAATGGTTTTCGTCCAGATGGACCTCAAGTGCATATTTATGAAAGGTTAATGACCTTCACTAACACAAAATAAAGATTAAGGTAAAGTCTACAAAAAATAATAAGCATAGATGTCACAAATAGTTAAAATTGAAACTTTTAGGTGAGAATGCATGTTGAGATATGCACGTTAAAAATCTTGCAATGTACTGTTGCTACGGATGCTATGTTATTAAACCTAACACTAATTTGACTAACTATCAGTGAGTGGGGGACATAGAGATAAGATAGACCCACCCATATTTAAAGAATGCCAAATCTTATAAAAAAATATTGAATTTTGAAGAGTTTCCTATTTTCTTTCCGACTTTTTGAAGTTAAAGATGTTTGAAGTTTCACTTGTTTCAACATGTGAATGTATAAAATTAGCTTATTTGATAGAAATTAAATTTTAGATTTTAATATAAATCAAAAACAATAATTAATTTTAACTAAATATTTTATGAAATTTGTCACTTTCCAACCACCAAACAGAGACTTGAAATATCAACCTTAAAATTTACCTTTATTATTTACCGTTGTCTTAATATGAGTTATTAACATTTACGATCGTTCAAATAATTAGTAAAACCCTTTTGCCTATATCTCACTTTTTGAAGATAGGGTGTTTCGGAGTTGAGTTTTAGTGGAACTCTAGATTGATAAGGTTTCAAGTTATCATAATTTGTCTACTCCAATTTTGATTTCATATCTCATTTGAGACGAAAAATCCATTTCTAAGCGACTACATTTAGCGCTCTAACAAAATGACTAGCTGTGAGTATGCAAGAATTCTTTTTCTGTAAAACGTTCTTATAGTTAAATTATTGTAAAATTATAATTTGTCAAGCATGCAACTAAGGGCTTCTTCAATGGTTCAACAAATTGGTGTAAAAACATCAATTTGGTGCAACAATCCTCTCCTGTGATGTGCTAAAACACCATGCTAATTTAACTTTCTTTATATATGTTTTAATTTGATTATTAATTTTAATTAATATTGGTTTGTAAATTATAACAAGTAATAAATTATAGCTAGTTGTAATTTAATTATGTAATTTTTTGTGAGTTAAATGTTTTTTTTTTCAATTGTTGTATGCAGTTTTTTTTCAATTTATTACTAAATGTAATATTTTAGTTCATTAAATATTTTTTTAATTTAATAATGAGTAATAATATAATTTTTGATTAAATAATTTTTTAAAATAAACTAAATGTGAAGAAATAAATAATAAGGAAACAAATGAAACACGATTAATTTGGTGTAATATTTTGCATAATCACGGAAGATGACTTGGCAAAATGCCGTGAAAATTAAATCAATTTAGCCTCTATCTGTCTGAATCTTATTATATAAAGATTCATTTTTCGTCAAACTCATTTTCAACGATATATTTTCCTCTTAAAATGATTTTAGACGTAAACTTAAAATTTTAACTACTTTTAATTACACAATCTCTTAAAATATAAAAAATAATAATAATAAAAAATGGAGAGAGACTAAATTTAGAGGTCAGCTTGAAGGTTAATATAAACCATTGAAGATATGGTCTGAAAAGACATAATTCGCATAAACCATTAGCCGTCAAGTTGGACTACAGTACATATCCAAATGATCAAACATTGCAATTCCGACCAAGCCAAGAGACGTCTTAGGATTACTTCAACCTTATTGACTTTATAGCCACAATTTGCGGCTAAGTGATTATGATTGTTTCAAGCTTTAAAAGTAAGTGGCATCGGCATCGGCATCGGCATCGGCATCGGCAACGGCAACATCAACATCTGTTAGTATTAGACCATAGTTTTTGACCTGTTTCTTTTCTTGTAGCCATTTTCAATCGCAATCAGAAAAGAGATGTGCTTCATGTACAGGGTATGTGTTCACACTGAACCCGTACTGAACACTTACAGCATCGGAGGTGGGGAGGGTTTTTGAAAATTTTCTATACAGATGGGTCCCGTGCGAGACCCACTTGATGTGAGTGTTGGTAGGAGTTCTATTCTATTAACCCAGCAATATTCAATTCAAAAGGCTGCACAACTTCATAAAACTTATTTATCTATTTATTTCACCTTATTACCTACACGACAGAAATAAAATATAAATAATGTTGAAACCGGTTGAAAAATTAGAACATATATTTGGACCATTTTTTGGCCATCAATGGTCAAACTAAGTCCAAATTTATGGTCGGAACGATCCCTACTTGGATTTTTTGGCTCGAGACATCGCCAACCTAGCGATAAATTAGCAGAAGTTAACTTGCTCATTTGACCTACACATTAGTTTTAAGCCCCTGTTTAGTGGGAGTTAAAATCAAATTTTTAGCATATCAATAAAAGTAAATGTGTGATTTAAAAGTAATGTATCCAATAAAATACGTAATTAAAATTAATTGTTAACTTTAACTTTGATAAATTTTATTTTTTTACCAAACAGGGGCTAAGTCAAGGGTAAAATAGAAAACCCATTAAAAATTCAAAATAAAATAAATAAATGCAATTTTATAAACAAGAGTAAATGCAATTTTGTTTATCTTCCCGAATGGCACGAGGATTCCCCACTTGGTCGGGTTTTTTAGGATGTTGACATAGTTAAAAAGTCTACCCTGAGTTCAAGATGGCATAGGGAGAATGCGGCCCTCACCCCCAAGCCACCCAAATAATTTTTTTAAATAATTTTTTATTAATTTCACTATTACTTAATTATTTATATACATAATATATGTAATCAAGACGATTATTGACATATTATATTAAACGGTCAAAATTCGCCTCATGGCCCATTTATTTCAATTATTTAACCCTTATTTGGTGATGATTGAATTGGAGTTTTAATAAATTTTGAT